TGTAACCGAAAGAAAACATATTCTATCTATATAAATCACCAGGATGTTGTACACAAGCGTCATATCATTTACCATTTACGTTTACATACAAATAGGCGTATAATTTTTGTGAAATGCGTTTGGTTCACGGAATTTTCTTTCCTTATTTTCTACGTGTCGCCTAGTTAAGAAAAAGAATTATAGATGCCTGTGTCTGCACTTAATGCGGATGGGGTTGTCAAATTGTGTCGCTCTGGAGTGATTCTGGTTCATGCAATGATAGTTACATCATCTGATGAAAATTACGTATAGTTGAATGATGTGGATGCAACGAATCTACATTATGCATTACACATATCAAAATATTATGCGTTCATACACTACTGTGCCTACTGTATAACAACATTTTTTTATAAAGTTGCATAACACAGTAAAATTTTAAAATACTTTAATACTGTCAAAGCTTATTAGCTTGCTTACAGATTTTAGAAGTCTTGTGATATTACTACTGTATTTATAATTTTAGATGTAGATTTATAATCTGGAGTTCCGGAAATTTTTCTGTTTTGTGATAAAATTTGCTTGTATAAATATAAAAAAATAAGAAGAAAGTTCTTACGCATTATCATCAGAAAATGGATCGATATTATCACATATTTGATCTTCGACTTTACTTGCGGTGAAAAATTCCAGCTTACAAAGTTTTAATGTACTGTGTCTGTTGTCGACGTTTATGTCTAAGCTTACATGCAGCGTTTTAATAATTCTTTTAAATTCTTTCGCTATTATACCAGGTACGTTATCGATTTTTACGAGATCCATTTTGCGATAAAAAAAGTTCCTTTTATAAGTTATCGTGATGTTGTACACGAGAATCGTGCTATTTTAAAATTTGCGTATTTCTTTCAAGTAGGAAATAAGTTCCGTCAACGGTGTTTTTTTCCCTTAATGTCATGTAAAACCCCTCCGATAGTTACTGTCTAATTAATGAAAGAATCTTAACAAGGTTATGTTTACACAACAGATGCAGCTTTTCAATGTTAATCTGGAGTGATTTCGGGCTGTAAATCAGGTAAAAGTGGTGTGGTGTAACTCAATACATGAAATGTGTAAATATTTAACGTACTATATCCATATTGTAGTGGGCTAAACGGAGTGTCTTTCATTTTCTCCATATTTGCATATTCTCTTTTATTTGTTCCCTTTCACCACACTTTTGAGCAAATGTTCTATTCCGCCTATTGGGCAGCTTTTGTTGTTTTAGATTTCCGTTCGGTGATCATCGGTCAGACGCGACTTTAAAATTCATTGATTGCAGTAAACGTAACTGTTTTGCCAAAAAAGATTTTTTGAAAATACCTTCAAATACCTATATTATTATTTCGAGATGTTCCTATGTAAAATGTTATATTTATTTATTTATCATATTTTTGCAGAAATGTTTATAATAATTCAAGTACAGTGAATAATGACAATAACAATAAATTATTTAGAATAGGAATAATCAAAAGAAATGATTTTCACACGTTTGTTTTCTGCATAGGCATGTAAATTCTAAATTCATTCACTATATTAATCTTAAGAAAATAAAAATAATTAATTAACTTTATGATAAATTATATATAACAATTTGAATATATTTAATTACCTAAATATACAATTCCAAATTGTCTTTATTTAAGAAATAATCAAATATTTTCTTACAATATAATTACAGTATATAAATTATTATATGTTACTTCTATCTAAGAAGATATCACAATAGAGCATAGAGTCACCAAAATTATTTTGAAAATGCAATATATCAAGACTTCTAATAATGTACATAAATCAATATAATCAAACAAACAAAAAAAATAAAGAAAGAAAGACTAGTGATTTGTTTTTCAAAGTCAAGTTATTTTTTATTAATAAAAAAATCTTCTTTTAAAATTTAAAATAAACATACAGTTCCCCCAATAAATAAAAAACTGCTTAAATATTATTATAATTAATTGGAAATGGTTGTCATATATTAAACTTTTTATTTTATAAATAAAAGGGTTTTTATATATTATATAAACTTATTTCTAATAATGAATTATATATATGTTTAAATCTTAATTAAAATTTAACAAACTTTTATTGTTACATTTAATGATTTTTTTCTAAATAAAAATTTTGATGCCTATACAATTTTTATAGTTACTATTTTGATAAGCAATTTAAGATTAATAAATTTTGTTAAGCATATATTAAAGTATTTAAATATTAAGTGTTATGAATTTTTACTTGATATTTAAGTTTTTATTTGATAAATGCAAAAATAATTATTTTAACAAAAATTATGAAATTTAATATTCAAGATTTATTAAAATATAATAAAAACTTTATAGTATATATATATTATTTTGAAAATAACTTTACTTGATATATAAAAGTAAAATTTAATAATAATAATAAATTTTAGATTTAATTACTATTAGTAATTAATTAAGATTAAATAATAATTATAATTAAATATAAAATTTTTTATTATTATTGAATTTTATTTATTTAAAAAATTATTTTATTTAAAAATAATATTTATTATATAAAATCATTTATATTTAATATTTTTGAATAATATTTGCTATTTACAATAGCACAAACTCTAGAAAATATATTGTTAATAAAATTATATTTTTTACTATTAATTATTAAATGTAGTAAAAAATTTATTCAAATTTAATAAAAATTTTATAATAAATAAAATTCATTATAAAGAACAAGTTTACTTAATACATATACAGTGGTACCCAAAATTTTTTGGAAAAATTTTTTAAAAAAATAAAAATTGTATTATTATTTAATAAATAT